AAAGCTCTACTCTACGCCTGAGCAGAACGTGAGGAATTTTATGGAAGAATAACCACCAGCTGTGTCTCCACCTCAGCGGCATAAATATAAACAGAGTAGTGGATGTGGTGCCTGTATTTGTTTTTTTTTAAATATGGGAGTAGAGCGGTATTGCGAGAGAGAGAGTGGTCCGGGTGAAAAATTATAACCTGTTTCATACCGTGACAGCATCAATTAAGCTCAGCGTTTTCCCCCTCAGCCAGCCTCTCGCCGGGCTCTCTGGGCAATAACAGAGGGCCAATCAGAAATAGAAAAATCGATCTGGCGCCGGCTGGCTTGGATACATTTACAAGCAGCCGTAATGACTGCAGACTCATTTCTTCAGCTGCTGGTGCAATCACATTGCAACCTTTTTTTCTGTGGAGCTGTGTGCAAAAGAGCAGTATTATTCTGTGGAGTCTGTTCAATTATATGTGCTGCCTGGGCACAGCATTATACTGTTATAATGCTTATGGTTTTTTCTTTAATGTTTGTTTGTGGTGATACTTTCCTGTCTTTATACTTATCAAGAATGTACTTGCAGCCTTTCTAGCATTTGTAGATTTCTTTTAGTGTTGCTGCTGCTTGGCTCAAATGTAAGGAGCTCCAAGTGATTCATTGGGGACAGGGCTGGACAGGTGCCCCAGAAGATGCCAGATATTATAGATGTAGATCTGCTTTCAGAGGGGGGCTTAATTATTAGCAGTACTCATGGTGGTGATCAGTAGTGATGAAGAGTCTCATGGGGCCAGACATGCTTCTGTGACTTCCTAATGAGAATTAATGACTGGAAACATGTAGTTTGCAAGTGTTGTGATGGATGGTAGTGGTGAAGCAGGTAGTCAGATCTTTCACCTTACTAAGTAGCAATGGAACAGTAGAAAAATACTACTTTCAAAGCATTTAGGAATCAAAGGTGTTTGCTGTGTGTTCTACTGTATTTAAATTCAGTGTTTCTGACCAAACATATTTTATGTAAGCTGTCTGTGAGGTTACATCCTGGGTCTGTATTTGACAACCTGGAAAGGAGAACGGACTGTGTAAAGTGTGTAGGAGAAACTACAGTGGTCGTTAAACTCATACTGGATTACTGTAGAAACATGGTGTTTCGCCATGGTGGACTCTTTGGTATGTAGATAAAAACGGGTCATTCTAAGGGAAAGAAAACACAACAATTCCTATTTTCAGGTGATTGTACACAAATGAAAACATGCCTATGAATATCATATTCCATTTTTTCCAATAGATCCTCCTAAATGTCCCCCTTAACCTTTACGGTATCGACCAAAATAACACAGTACTAAGTAGTATTGAAACGTCTTCAGTCACTAACAATAATGTGCATCGAATCCTTTGTGTACCCAGATCTTGAAGAAAATTACTATTAGTATGGTTTTGCCTGCAGCCAATCACTACAAGCAGACTTCGATTTAATGAGATGTGTCATTGGTCCACTGCCGCAGCTACAGCTAGCAGCTACATACAGTCTGTGGTGGTGGAGCACAGTGTATTTCTACTTTAATTTATAAAAGGTAATGAACAAAGTACTCCATTGTTATCACTATGACTTTTAGGTTAGGTATTGGTACTGGTAATAATTTCTTTAATGATACCCCGCCCCAGTATCACGTCAATGCATACTCTTGCGCGTGTGCTCCTGTTCACAACATACAAACAAAAAAAGGACCCATTTGTAAAAACATGGAAACAAACCTTGTAAGCATGTTGTTTGTCAGCTGTAAATAGAACAGCCTTTGTCCTTTACATATGGCAGATCTGGAGCAAAGTACTACAGTAAAACGCAATAGAGTGGCTGTGGTCTTAAATGAAAGCAGTGACAGTGACTGCATTGAAGCTTACAAGGCTGTCACCGCTCAGAGTGCTGGGGTGCTGTGCAAGCTGTTATTCTCCACGGTAGAGATGTGAGATGTATCTGTGTTTTCACTTACACGTCAACCAGAGAGCGGAAAGAAACCGACGGAGAATAAGAGAGGGGTGGAGGAAAGGAAAGAAGACAGGGGCATACAAGTCAGGAAAGAAGGTGAGATCTACAGCTGAAAGCACAGATGCGTACAGATTGCGTGCAGTCCCAGAGACAATCATTCGCTCTGATTCCTTGCCTTAATCTCCTCTATGGAAAATATGTCAGGATTATTGATTGTTTATTTTTGATTGTTGTTACATTCATACAGACATGCTGTAAGTTTGATGGTGATAGATCATGTTAAACCTCCGCTTTTGTTTTTTAAAGCAGCTATAGTCAGTCGTTTTTTAACGTGAAAACAACGTGACAAGTGGTCCCAACTGCTTTTCGGACTGTATAACAGCATGTAAATCCAAATTGCCAAAAAAAATAGCCAGTTACAGTTTGTCAGATGTGAATATTCTGCCTTTATTAGTCCTGTATGACATATATTGTTGGGTTTTGTTGGTTGGACAAAAGAAGCAACACGTTTGGCACCTTTGGCTTTTGGGGAACTGTGATGGGCAGTTTTAACTGTTTTCTTACAATTGTAAAATAAAATATTTTATGGACAATATAGTTGCAGATTAATCAATAATAAATCTTAAATTGCAGGTAAATCAAGCGGCAAATCTGGTCCTAGACTGTTGCTGCATTGATATAGGAAATTAAGATTCTTGCCAGTCTTTTCTCAAGGGTAACCTTCACTAGGGATAAGTGCTAAAAAGCTAACATTTGCAGTCTTGTTAAGATTGATTTAAGTAGGATTTAATTAAGTATTTGTATAGTTAAATTGCTGTAGTGTTCCCTGTGGACCCAGGGAAAGAAGCTGTAGCCCTGGCGATAGCTAATAGGGATCCATTAAATGAATAAATAATAACACATCATGATATACAATAACACATAAGGGAAGCTTTACCTGAGTGAACTAGAACTACTTAATCATACTGTCTTTTTATAGATTCACCATTTCATCACATGAAGTCTTGTGTGTCTTATTATAATTTCATCCCCCCTAGAATTTCAGTGTGCAGCAGATTCATTATGCAGTACTAAAATGAGAAGCTGTGTTGATTTTCATCGTGACAGAATTTCTTATCACCCAGGTGTAGTAGAGTCACACCTCCAGCAGTTGTAGTCCCCAGCTTCGAGCTAGAAATGAGAAACCGGGGGAGCCGCTAACCAGTGAGGAGTTGATTGTTTGCTCGCGATCAGCAGACTGATGTGTGAACTTCACAGCTGAGCCTGCAGGAGACGAGGAGGGAGGAGGATGCGGAGCGGGAGAGAGAGTCTGCAAGCAAGGCATGGACTTGTCTGAACGTGTGATCTTTCCCATCTGACCCGGGGCGAGCCCTGCACGCTGGTACTGTACAAGTCACTGCACTGCATTGTGGGATATCTCCATCACGCAGCTTGTGGGCCTCCGTCGGTGCGACATGATCGCTTGTGAAGGGGAAATTCTCGCTGAGCTGGCTGTTTGGAGGGGTGTGCTGGTATTTTTAGATACCTTCTCTCTTTTTTCATCACCAGGGCAGGAAATATGAAAGTGAGACAGCTATGTGGCGCGACAGTATGGCACAGTTTCTCCCCCCCCCACCTTTCACTGAAGCGTGACATTTAGGTTCCCAAGCTTTTTCCACTTCTCTGCAGCTGCATGCCTCTGCCTTATTTGGGAATTGAGATGCCTTTTGAGCCACATGCGTATGTTCTAGACATGTTTTCCTAACATCACTCCGGTTCCACAGTTAAATATACCGTCAAGGCATCTGATTTTCCAGGCTGGTTTGAACATTTGTCAAGTTTCATTTTGAACCGAAAACCTGCTGCATTATGCAGAGATCAACGACGTTTGATCAAATCTTGCTGGGATAGAGAGAAGTTGCACGAAATAGAGTTAGATTATGGTTGTGAGAACGCGAAGTGGAGGCTAAATCCTCTTTATGTAAGTATATTAGAGAGCAATGTCCTTTGCCTTATATTAATGTGATGACTTTTAGGCAAGAGCTCCCTGGACTCTCCCAACTCTTCCTGTTTTTCTAACCACACACCAAATCTACCAGAGGGATACACATCAGAGCCCCAATCAGCGTAATCGCCAAGTTTAACACACCAAGGGGATTTGTGGATCTTCTCAGGACAACTTTGCATTATGTAAAGATAACAGGATTAAGGAAAGACAGTGCAAAAGAGCAGCATGAGATATGCTATGAACAGTAAACATCGTTATTCAACATTCATAGAGTGGAGATGAAGCAATACGGCAAACGCACACCCACAGTTCGCCTACACATATACAATGTGTACACAACACAAATGCTGCCAAAATTGTAGATATTTTTATAGATTCATTGAATGCATTTGCTAAGTGAGTCACACATTTCCAAGGATGTGGGATCACCGTGTGTTGGATGCGAGGTGGAACGTGAGGAGCCAAGAAGTAAATGGGGGGGGAGCAACAGCCGCCTGCGCTGGTGTTTTTCACTGGGTGATTAGAAACTGTCATACAGTACATCGGATGTCTGCAGGGGAAATGCGATAAGTGGCAAAAAAAGACAGAGTGAGATACGGAGAAAGAGGGTGTTTGAAGTGGAAAGATGGAGAAGGGAAGACAAAAAGTGAAAGCCAGAGGGGTCGTAACCTTGTCGTCAGTGTGTGTGCCAGCAAGCAGCTGGAAAAGACTGATGCTCCTGCCTCTCCCATCTGCCTCTCACACTTCTGGGCTCCACGCAATCTGAGCTGTCTCCTTTGTTTTTCTCACCATAACATAACTTATTCCACTCTATATCACCTTTTTATTTTTATTTTTCACCCCTTGGGTTTCGCACAAGCTCACTGCTGATGTGAGCCGTGCTAAGGGTGGATAAATTAAAACACAAGTGCCGACAACGCCACCTAGGTTTAACTGAGGCCTAGGACCTCTTAGGATCACCAAATTAAAGTTAGGGTAAACAGGTTCTTTTTATGTCGGGGAGAGCAGTAAACAGTGTTATTTTTAAAACAATGAGTACAGCCAGTGGAACACAGTTGAACACAATTTATTTTAAAATAAGTAAAAACAACTAAAAGCTCTACCTTCAAATAAACTAAACAAAGAACACAAACAACTAAAACCCAGCTAAAATAATGTGGCACGGATGGAGTGGGAGGTCAACAACGGCAGTCGCGGGTCTCTGGTGGCGACCACCTGCTCTTCACCTGGCTCCGCTCTTCGGCAGCCTGTCGAGGGAAACTCAGGGCCAGTCAATGTCCTTTAACAAGGCACAACTTTATATATTACACACTACACAAACACCGGTCTGAAACGGGACTTACGCGGGAGGGAGAAGTTTTACCTTCTCCCAATTATAGCCGCTAACGGTCGGTGTTTGCTCCGGTGTCTCTTCAGACCTCTTCCAGTGCGATGATCTGCTCTGTCTCTCTGTCTGCTTCCTGCTGTCCGGCCCGTTGTGACCTCCGTGTCCTCCCTCGTGCCCTCTGTGTCCTCCCTCGTGCCCTCTGTGTCCTCCCTCGTGCCCCCGGGTATCTTCCATAGTGTCCTTTTTATCCAAGAACAGTCACTCCCCTCTCTGGGTGCCAGGTGTAAGTCCTTATGCTTGATTAAGGTATGTCTCCGGTGGGGAAGTAAAACCAACGTAACACAAACACACTTCAAAATAAAAGCATGCAATAATAAATAAGACAAAAACACAGCAAATTCAAAGTAAAAGCATGCTTAAATAAAATCAAACTTCCCCCGTGACATCTCCCCACACTTTAAAGTTAGCAGTCCCTGCAACATGTTATGAGTCTCTATAACGGACTGGAGTTTGTCCAAAGTTTACCCTGGTGGAGCATCGTAGGGCACCCTCAGGTTCCACATTCACAGGCGGTATGGCTACCGGTGCTGGAAGGAACCCGTAGATCATGGGCTGGATGGGTCCCTGCATCTGGACAACCGGCTCAGTGGTTGGTAGCGGGACTTCGGTTGGGGGTACTGTACACACCTTAAGTGAGTTCCTATGGATATTTTGTATTCTGCCACCCTTCTCTGGCTGAATCTTGTACACAACCCCTGTATCCCCCACCTGCTCCAACACCACCCATGGCTCTGGGTCCCACCAAGTACACAACTTTCCTGCCCCTCGTCTGTTCCTATCTCGCACCCACACCCTTTCCCCGGTAAAAGTGGTAACGCTTTGGCCCTCTTGTCATAGTGCTGCTTGTTCTGGGTGGCTGCACTCTCTATTCTTTGTTTAGCCAGGCTATAAGCTAAGGACAGTTTCTGCTGGTGGTCTTGTACCCACCCACCTACATCGTGCCTCATCTGTTGGGGACCTACACCTAATCCTACATCAACAGGAAGTCGCAGGTGTCGCCCAAACATGAGGAAGGAAGGGGTATACCCAGTCGCACTGTGTGTGGTGTTATTATAGGCGTGTGTCAGTTCGGGCAGATAGTCGGGCCAGTGAGATTGCTTAGACGTCTCTAAAGAGCGGAGCATATTTAACAAGGTCTGATTAAAACGCTCTGCACTGCCATTTCCTGCGGGACGGTAGGGAGTTGTGCGGCTTTTAGTTATACCATAGGTATCACAAAATTGTTTCATAAGTGCAGATTCGAAATTAGGTCCCTGGTCAGAATGGAAACGGGCGGGGCAACCAAATGGTTGGATCACATGGGTCCACAGGGCCTTTACTGTAGTCTGAGCTGTTTGATCTCGAGTGGGAATAGCCCAAGAAAAACGGGTAAACAGATCAGTAGCAACAAGAATGTTCTGGTAGGTGTCTGTGGGCCGACCTAAGGACAAAAAGTCCAACCCCACCACTTCTAAGGGGTAGGATACTGTGAATGGATTTAGGGGGCCTTAGGCTCCACCCTATCTCGCTGCAGGTTACAGGCAACACAACCCTGCTGCAACTGACGTACCTCCCTCTCCATATCAGGCCAATAGAACCGCTGACGGATCCGGTTTAGGGTTCTCTCCACACCAGCATGGGCAGCGGCTTCATGGATCCTCTTCCAAACTTCTTGGCTCCTAGATTCTGGACACACAATCTGGAAACACACTTCGTGTGTGTGCGGGTCAATCATTTTACGACACAGTATTTTGCTTTTAACCTGAAGTTTTCGCTTTGTTGCAACAGTCTCTGGGCTCTAAGGGACAATGTCAGGCGCTCTGGTCTCGTCGGTATCATTTGGGTTTCCACATACCTCTTAATGATTTGAAGGTCCGCATCACCAGCTTGTGCCTCCTCCCACTCTCTGCCTGTCCACTCCTCTTCACCTCCCTCAGGGGTCAGTTCAATGGCTGCCGTGACTGGAACGGTTTCCAGCTCAAGGTTTTCACATGAGGCATCTGCAGTCAGTGGGTTAATTGGGAACCGAGACAGGGCATCTGCATTTACATTACTTTTACCTGAGCGGTACTTGATGTCATAATCGAAGGAGGCAAGCTGTGCGACCCAGCGCTGTTCCACGGCACCCAGGCGAGCTGTCTGTAAGTGGGCCACAGGGTTATTGTCAGTGTACACCGTGAATCGGGCTCCAGTCAGATAGTCTTTAAATTTCTCGGTTACTGCCCACTTAAGAGCCAGGAGCTCTAGTTTGAAAGAGCTATAATTTGCATCATTCCGCTCTGTTGGGTGTAGGCTGCGACTGGCATAGGCTATCACTGTTCTCGCCCTTGTTGGACCTGGGCCAAGACTGCTCCCAAACCATGATTACTGGCATCTGTGTAAACGAGGAATGGCAGGGAGTAATCAGCATATGCCAAAACAGGTGTTTGTGTTAAAGCTGCTTTCAGGTGATCAAAGGATGTCTGGCACTCTGAGGACCACTGTACCTTTCGGATTTGCGACTTTTTATCAGCAGGGATGCCTGTCAGCAGTTGGTTGAGGGCGTGCAATCTTTGCAAAGCCAGAAACGAAGCGTCTGTAATAGCCAGCTAAGCCAAGGAAGGCTCGTACCTGTCTTACAGTGGTGGGGATGGGCCAGTCTTTTACGGCTGAGATTTTGTCTGGATCAGGACTCACCCCTTTTGGTCCACCACATGGCCCAGGAATTTCACTTCCTTCTGCAGGAGTTTGCACTTATCCAGGCGCAGTTTCAAGCCATGCCGCCACAGTTTGTTAAACACCTCATCTAGCTGCTGTAGATGGGAGGAAAAGTCAGGTGAATAAATGATAATGTCATCCAAATAAACCAGTAAGGATTCTGACAATTGGCCATTTAAACATTGTTGCATCAGACGTTGGAAGGTAGCTGGCGCATTGCACAGGCCGAAGGGCATACGCTCAAATTCATACAGCCCCAGCGGTGTGGTGAAGGCGGTCTTCTCCTGGTCTTGGGTGTCCATCTCAACTTGCCAATAGCCACTGGCTAAGTCAAGAGTAGAAAACCATTCTGCTCTGGTCAGACTGGTCAAGGTTTCTTCAATCCTGGGCAGGGGAAATGCATCTTTATGAGTTATTGCATTTAACTTCCTGTAATCCACACAGAATCTCCAACTGCCATCTTTTTTCTCACCAGTACTATGGGTGCCGCCCATGGGCTACAGCTCTCTTTAATGACACCTTGCTCCAGCATACCTGAGAGTAGGGATTTCATCTCTTTATACATGGCAGGGGGAAGAGGTCGATGTCGTTCTCGGATAGGTGGTGCATCACCAGTATGGATGCGATGTTGTACCAGGTCTGTACGTCCGAAGTCCTCATTGTGCTGTGCAAACACCTTCTGCCATTTCAGCAGCAGGGCGCGCAGCTCCTCCTGTTGCTGCTCAGACAGATCAGGCCTGTTGGAGAGTTCACTCACCCCTATCGGCAGCTTCTGGTCCTCCTCGCCAACTGCAGCATTTACCAGTGTCACTCCAACAACACAATCACCTTCAAGGGACAGGTTAAGGTCGCAGGCTCCATGTACATCCGCTTCATCCACCCGGGACAGTTTGCCAAGCTTCTGGTACCGATCTAGCATCAAACAGTAGGGGTGTGGGTTAAAAACTCTCACAGGGACTCTGCCATTTCTTATCACTGCTAGGGTCCTGGCCACCCTCACACTGCAAGTCTCAGGCAGCGCTTCAATTAGGGCACAGTAATCTTTTCCCCCAGGCTCATCCGAGCCCGACCCCACACCAGTACTTCACTCTTTGGGGGAATTTTGATGACCCGTCGGCTGGCTGGCCGCACGTACCCCAACATCCCGTCCTCTGTCATGGTAGCCTCAATGTGTCTGCATGTAGCAAATGCATCCCTCCAAACCCGCTGTCTCTGTAACGTCTGTGGGGGGAACAGACCCTCTGGGACATTTAAAAAAAACAGTCCAACAAGCAGTAACAACATTCATTCCAATGATGAGTGGGTGTGTACAGTGTTCATCCTTCACAATCACAATTCCTCTTCCAGGTATCTTAGCACCCTCTAGCTCCAGATCTAATACGGCATAGCTCGTATAAGGGATCTCCAGGCCATTTGCGGCCTGTAACTTAAAAACTATAGGAGCCTTTCCAAGCTTAGCTTGGGTAAAATGTTGCTCAAAGAGGCTTTGCTGCATTAAGGTGACCTGGGACCCCGTGTCTAATAGCCCCGACAGTGTAACTCCTTCAATGTTTACGTCTATAGTTGGACACCTTCCAATAAATGCTTCAGTGGGCCCGTTTTCTTCTGTTGTACTTTCAACCCCTGCCCCTCGGACCTCAGCAGCAGGGAAAGCTAGTTTAAAGCCTGCCGAGCAGTTGTTGGCCTCCTACAAAATCTAGCTATGTGGCCGGCTTGTCTGCATTGGCGGCAAATGGGCCTACCTTGCTCATCCCAGGTGTTCGTCTGGGAAACTGATCGTTGTCGCTCCCTATAGGGCTGTATTAGGGGCTGTGGTGCAATAACAGCTGGTTGAAGGAGCGGTTTAATCTCTCGCAACAGTTCCTGGGTCAGTCCGGTCATCTGAGATTTCACGTCTTCCATGATCTCTCTTTTCAGGGTCTCTCTCCAGCTGGTGTCCTGTGATGGAGGAGGCACATTTGGTTTATACACAGAAGCACAGATTACCTCCGGTTGGGGGTTCCCATGTTCTGTATCAAGCAGCAGCGCCTCCTGTCTGATTGCAGAAAAAGTTTCATCAGGGTTACGGCGGGCATAGACCTTCAGGGCCTGAGCCAGGGAACTTTCACGCAGCCCCAACAGCAGCTGGTCTCGCAGGACTGTGTCAGGGGAGTTCCATCAGGGTCATGTTGCCGCAACCTGCAATACAGCTCTCTTAGTCTTAGAATGAATGAGGGCACAGTCTCGTCTGGTCTTTGGACACAACTAAAAAACTGAGACCTTAACACTGGGGCGGGGGTTCTGTCTCCATATAGAGAGTCCAAATACAGAAAGATTTTGCGTACTCTATCCCTTTCGTCATCCTCTAAAACACTGACCTGCCGTTTGGCTTCCCCAGCTAACGCACCCAACACAATGTCAATTTTTCTGGCCTCTGCTAGCTCTTGCGCTCCAAGTAAGCCCTGTATTTGCTCCTTCCAGTCATGATATTTCAGGTCACAATTTGGTCCTTTAAACTTTGGCAGCCAAGGGGCACCAGGATATACAGGCATCATCATATTCACTGTTTTAAAATACACCACACTGCTCTCTGTACCCGATCCTGCCGACAACGCCAAAATGTGAGCCGTGCTAAGGGTGGATAAATTAAAACACAAGTGCCGACAACGCCACCTAGGTTTAACTGAGGCCTAGGACCTCTTAGGATCACCAAATTAAAGTTAGGGTAAACAGGTTCTTTTATGTCGGGGAGAGCAGTAAACAGTGTTATTTTTAAAACAATGAGTACAGCCAGTGGAACACAGTTGAACACAATTTATTTTAAAATAAGTAAAAACAACTAAAAGCTCTACCTTCAAATAAACTAAACAAAGAACACAAACAACTAAAACCCAGCTAAAATAATGTGGCACGGATGGAGTGGGAGGTCAACAACGGCAGTCGCGGGTCTCTGGTGGCGACCACCTGCTCTTCACCTGGCTCCGCTCTTCGGCAGCCTGTCGAGGGAAACTCAGGGCCAGTCAATGTCCTTTAACAAGGCACAACTTTATATATTACACACTACACAAACACCGGTCTGAAACGGGACTTACGCGGGAGGGAGAAGTTTTACCTTCTCCCAATTATAGCCGCTAACGGTCGGTGTTTGCTCCGGTGTCTCTTCAGACCTCTTCCAGTGCGATGATCTGCTCTGTCTCTCTGTCTGCTTCCTGCTGTCCGGCCCGTTGTGACCTCCGTGTCCTCCCTCGTGCCCTCTGTGTCCTCCCTCGTGCCCTCTGTGTCCTCCCTCGTGCCCCCGGGTATCTTCCATAGTGTCCTTTTTATCCAAGAACAGTCACTCCCCTCTCTGGGTGCCAGGTGTAAGTCCTTATGCTTGATTAAGGTATGTCTCCGGTGGGGAAGTAAAACCAACGTAACACAAACACACTTCAAAATAAAAGCATGCAATAATAAATAAGACAAAAACACAGCAAATTCAAAGTAAAAGCATGCTTAAATAAAATCAAACTTCCCCCGTGACACTGACACTCTATTGGGGCCCTCTTAAAAAAAAAAACTCTTGATGGTTGTTCTGTGTCGGTTCAATGAACCCAAAGCTGCATTTAAAATTGTCCAAATCCACTTACACTAGGTTTCTGGGAACAATGTGAAGAAATGAATGACAACTGATGAGATTTAGTCTATGTGCCTACGTCACTACAGTGTCTGCATATAGGGGGCACTTGTCCTGGATTGGGTAGCTATTTCTACTAGCTAGGTTCTCAGGAGCTGCTAATGGTAGCTGGTTTCAAACAAGTGATTTAATTTATTGAGTTGCACATAAAAATGTAAGGAATGTCTTAGCTTGAAAAGACTGTATATTGCTGGCTACAGCTGGAAACATCTGTAGTGCAGTGCAGTCTAAAACAGTGACTTTAGCATCACAAGCTTTAGCATAACTCACAGTTTTAGGGTTCAAATAAGATGTTAAACTTAAATGTAAATCTTTTGTAAATGTGGACACATACACGATAAATATGAGTGTCAGATTTAGTAGTACTCATGCAGTTCAGAATGCTAACTTACGTTATTTCGTCATTTAGCCTAACATTATTAGCTTAACGTTTTGTAATTTGAGGTATATTTTATTATTTTTGCCAAATCTTCCTATTTCACATTATAAAACAGATAGCTTCAGTTAGCTATGGTAACTGAACCAAGCTAAATTTCACCTGACAGTTACTGAGTATAAAACATTTACAACTAACCTCTAAGAACTAGTTGCTGTGGCGCAATCAGTTTGTATATAGAGATCAAGTTGTAGTTCCCTTTAATGCTACTCAAGAAACAAATGTTACATACAAAAATGACATACAGTAGCTGGGCAAATAAATAATACATCTATTATTTTACATAATGGAGTGCTGAGGATAAAATTAAGCAGTCTCACAGCCTGAGGGAAGAAGCTGTTCTTGTCTGGTCTACGACAGCAAATACGTCTGTCTCTTCCCAGATGGCAGCAGGGTGAACAGGCTGTGGCTGGGGCGGGTGCTGTCTTTGAGTATCATTCGGGCTCTGTGCAGTCACCTCACTTTACCAGTATCACTGTGGCTCAGATGATGGGTACCAATGTTCTTATGAGCAGTTTTAGTCTCCCGCTGCAGAGTCCTCCTGTCTTGGGCCATGCACGTCCCATGCCAGTTTTTGATTTTTCCAGTCAGAATGCTTTCTATCGCTCCTCTGTGAAAAGTTAGAATTTGTGGATAGCTGGCATTTGCTCTTGATAATACAGAAGTATTTTAAATAAAAAAATGTAATGCAAAACCATTGGACATGCCACAACTTGCCAAACCCTAGTGATGCTCTGGCCTCCATGTAGCTGTCTCT